CATACTTCCTCCAACAAGTTCCCACCTCCTAGTTCCTCTCAAGTGGGTATTCTATGATGACCAAGCACTCAGATATGTGAGCTTATGGGGGCCATTCTCATTCGAACTGCCTCAGACCCCTGAAGTTGTCCTCCGGCCTCCACAGGCATGTGCAGACACACACAAGCAAGCGCGCCAGCACATATACACGTATGACCTCAGCACACACCCAGCGAAAAGGCAGACTGAGCAGCTGCACACTCAAGCTAATTTTTAAAAAGGGAATTGGATGCTTTCCTTGATCCCCTCCTGGGGCGAAGGGCTGGTTGTGCATGGTGAAAAACTCTCAGTTCTCATCTGGCCTCTCAGATTGGGAACGTCTGCACATGGAGACTCATTCTCTGTTTTCCGAAGAACCCCGGACACCACACAACTGACAAATACAAAACCTTTTACAGGTTAGAGAGCACTTACAATTCTGAATCAGGACACAGGCATTTCTGTCGGCCACTTCCACCTCGAGGCTGCTGGCAGAAAGAAACATGCAGAACAGGTTAGAGTTCATTGTAGGACAAATTGTTTCCTCTCGTTAAGGATGCATGGGAATTCAAACTGCCAGAACTTTGAAAAGCGATTGTATGAGTCATGTTTTTGTTTGTTTTTCAAGACAGGGTTTCTCTGGGTAGTCTTGGCTATCCTGGAACTCACTCTGTAGTGAGTTCTCACTACAGGCTGGCCTCAAACTCACAGAGATCCACCTGTCTCTGCCTCCTGAATTCTGGGATTAAAGATGTGTGCCACCACTACCTCATTGTATGAGTAATGTTCACGCCATTGTGACTTCAGTATACCTAACAGGATCAGTATTGGGAAGGTTTATTTTATTTCACACTTTCAGAGGGATTCCAGTCCATCATGGAAGCAGGTAAGGGAAGGCACATAGGTTCCATCTCTGATGTCGAGAGCAGGAGGTAGAGGTTTGTTCACACAGCAGTAGACAGACAAGCAGAGGAAGGGTGAAGTCAGAATTACGGCATTATAACCCTCAAAGGCCTGCCCTTGGGTTCTCAATCACCAGACAGTCCCCACCTACTAAAGGTTGCATGGCCTTGCAAAACACTGCAACCCAGTGGGGAGCAAGGGTTCAAAAGATGAGCCTGTGAGGGACACTTTGATCAAACCCGCAGGTTACCTTGTTTGCAGATGGGGTCTTTGCAAAAGTAATTTAAATTAAAATGAGGTCATCAAGCGGGGTCTTAATCCAATATGGCTTATATATTTAAAGCAACATGAAATTAGCAATGAACATAGACACACGCAAGTATGAGTACAACCCCAACAGGGGGGTGCAGAGGGGAGACAGAAGAAGGGTGGCTGGGATTTGTCGGCCACCCAGTCTAGTTCAAGGTTAAGTGAGGGACAGGGTATAAGGAAGTAAGGCGGAGAGAGCGAGAACAGGAGACCTAGGACCCCCTTTCGCTTTTGAGCTGTACATGGGTGTGAACACACAAATACACATGTTCACATGCCTATACGACACAAACAACATAATAAAGCACCCACTTGCCCCAAGCCTGACAACCTGAGTTTGGTCCCCAAAGCTTATATGGTAGAAGTAGAGAACTTCCTGTTGTCTGCTGATCTTCCCCACAGAGTAAGTGAAAACCAAATCATTGGAAAAAGAAAACAAAACAAGACATTTATTTTGTGATAATGTGAAGAGACACAAATCAGAGACGACATCTACCAGCCAGGGGAGAGGCGGGGACTAGGAAGTCCTGCAGAGTTGTTAAAGAAACCAGTGCTGTAGGTATTGAGTCTTAGACTTACAATGCGTTTCACGGGAATGGGGAGAGAGCTTAGCCATGTGTGCGCTTGCTCTGCGAACTGAGGACCTGAGTTTGGTCCCTAGAATCCAAGTTTTTAAAGTGCTGGCATTTGTGGGGGGCACACTCATGAACACACGCATATACACATATACACAAACAAAAGAGAAAGGGAAAATGTCTAAAGTACAACGGATTATATGCTAGATTAAGAGGGAAAGCACATTTATTGAAAGGAATGACCCAGAACAGCATACATAGACATCTGTAGATAGGAAGGTGGTAACGCGTCACACGAGAAGACACAGCAAATCTAAAAATAACCATAATGTCAAAGCAAAGCAGAAGGGTGAGTGACATTTTAAGGTACCTAACCCAATATAATGTGACCTGAACATATTAAGATCTTGTTGGTGACAGGGATAGATGCGGCTAATATGTGCTGCCTACGTTCATAATTAGAATTGTGGTGCTTTGAAAGACAATGGTCCCCAAAGGGGTGGCCCTATTAGGAGGTGTGGTCTTGCTGGAGGAGTGTGGGTGCAGGCTTTGAGGTTTCTTTTGCTCAAGCTTCCCTCAGTGTAACAACAGTCGACTTGCTGTTGTCTGCAAAATATAGTACTTTCAGCTCCAGCAACACGTCTGCCTGTACACGCACGGCCTTGCTCCCTGCCATGATGACAATGGACGGAACCTCTGAAACTGTAAGCGACCATCTCAATCGAATGTTTTCTTTGTAAGAGTTTCTGCGGTCATGGTGTCTCTTCACAGCAATAGTAAACCCTAAATAACCAAGACAAGGTTCAAGAAAGCAAACAGAATTCTATCCCATTCCAAACTGCATGATGGCTAAGAGCCTTTTGAGATGTCATTAGTCTTGTGGGTTGATTCCCCCATGAGGGTGATGCCTGTTTTCTCCTGCCTGCACCCCGCCCCCGACCTTTTATCTTTAGGAGATTCATGTTATGCCTGGGACTCACTGTCACCCCTCTCTTCTCTGCATTCTCTGTTGTCACAGCAACAGGACCTATCTGGATTCTGGAAGTTCCACCTTTCAGTATCCGGTGGACCAGAGCGTCCTGCTGCTCCTGATCTCTCTATCTAGCTTGCCTGTGACTCAGCGGGGGAGGACCGAAAGGGTGCTGAGAAGCAGTTGATTCTGCCAGCTGCATGACTCAGCCAAGCCTTCCTGGCTCGGCTACAGACAGGAAGTGGCTGACCGAGCCCTCACCGGAACCCCATCCTAGGCCTTGTGATGGATCATCCACCAGTGACTCAGATCAGCTGGGCTCTGTCTGCACAGGGTCACCCAAGTGCTGGGCTCTGGGAATTTTCCCATGAGCTCATCTTTGAATGCAGCAGCCAGCCGCACAGTCTCCTCATTCCCCATGCAGCTCGCACAGTGCCTTTGCACGGTGAGAGAAGCCTTTGTTTGCATCCTGGGTTTGAATGGAGGGATTATATCAGCATACAGGGAAATATTTTCCTTATGTCACGTGGGAAAAGTCTGTCCTTTTAAGAAATGGAGTTAACAGTTTCTCAACCCAGAGAGTCTAAAGCACGCTCTGCCCCGCCCCCATGCCTCAGAACGTCGGAAATAAAGTTGTGTTTTGAAATTCCCGGCAGCTTGTATTTCATAAAATAAGGTACAGGAAGAAGGAGGCTGTGGGGCTGGGGCTGCTTGGAATTAGAATGCTTCCTAGGATGTGTGGGGGCCTGGGTTCTATTCCTCTGCTCGCCTACCCCCTCACCAAAACAAATAAACAAACAAACCAAAACCAGAGAGAACAAGGCAATAAGAGAATTTAGTAAGAACAGAACCAAAGCAAGAGAAGTCTTTGGTTACACTTAGCGAACCTGCCCAACCAAATGCTAACTTTTTTTTTCCTGCAGTATTTGGCCTTTGAGTCGGGATTGTAGGTGGCATGTTATTTAAATAACCTCACAAATGTGATGGTGCAAGTTTATAAATGCCAGCACTCGGGAGGCCGAGGTAGGCAGATCTCTGTGAGTTCAAGGCCAGCCTGCTCTACCTAGCAAGTTCCAGGCCAGTCAGGGCTGCATGGGAGACAAACAACAAACGGAAGAACAAATGATTCTTCAAAAAGAAGTAGCACGGGAGTGAAAGGGGCTGATGTTTACTGTATGCATGGGTCAGTATAGATGAAGTGTAATTGAGAAAAGATAAAGTTAATAGAAGTGCTATGCTTTAAGCAACAAGTGGACAAAAGACAAACTCTACCTCGAATAATGGTGCACACCTCTAATCTAGCACTCCTGAGGCAGAGGTAAGTAGATCAAGCTTTTGAGGCCAGCCTGGGCTACACGTCAAGTTCAAGGCCAGCCTAAGACAAAGTGATTTGTCTAAAAAACTAAGGGCTGGTCAGGTGTGGTGTAGGCTTTTAGCTCTCTGGAGGTAGAGGCAGGGTCTCTGAGTTCAAGGCCAGCTTGGTCTACAAAGAGTTTAAGCAAACCAATACTATACAATCAAAACCTCCAAACTGGACCAACTGAAATTCCAAAGGGCTGGAGATAAAATTGTGTGATAGAACACTTGCCTAGAATATGTGCAGGACCTAGATATCACCCCCCCTTTTTTTTTTAGAAAAGCAATCTATGTTTAAGGACTGTATTTGACAGTCTGGTAGGACAGTAACAAGTCAGCTCAGACAACTCAGACATCAGCTATGATATCTCAATCGACTTCTGCCAAATGCTGATGAAATCTTGGCTTTTTCAGAGCAGCAGTCTTAACTGAGAAGTTGCAGCAATCAGTGAGGTTAAATGGTCTCTCCTAAATTAGAATACTAGTATAATTATTATTAATTTAAATATAATTTTAGTTTTTTAAATTTTAATTATCTATATGTGTGTGCCTGCTTGTCTGTAAGTGCGCTACATACATGCAGTGCCCATAGAGGTCAGGAAAAGGTGACAGGTCCCCTGCAATTAGGAAACTGACTTTAACTGATGGTATTCACTTCAACTTGCTTTATATGTACATTGTATATATATATATGTATAAAGTATATATATATACAAAGTATATATAAGTATATGAAGTATATATATTTGTGTATGCATGTGTAGCCCTATGCAGCTTTGCCATGTATATATACTTAGGCAGCAACTTTCAGATCAAAGCCCAGAGCTTCTACATCCCTGTAAGACTCACTCAGGATTCCTCCTCTGTCTAGCTCCTGGCAGCCAGCACTTTACTTCCCAGCTCTACAATGTTGTCCCAAAAGGCATCCCACAATATGGTACCTTCAGAGGAGGTAAGAGCATCCTTCCTTTTGAGATCCATCCAAGTTGCTGCACGTGTTTGTGTTTTAAGCTGGTAAGTAGGTGGCATTCCCCAAGAATGTGCCAGTTTGTTGCTAATCACATCCTCTGAGGGACATCTGGGTGGACTCCAGTTTGAGGCTAATTATGAATAAAATTGTTATCTGCGTGGCAATTTAAAAGATAATGCTGTTATTGAGTGCAGACCAAAGGTTTGTTGAGGGCAGAGAGCATTTTGTCCCATAAATGGATAGTATAGAGTTTTCACAAAGACACAGAGGAGAGGTTTGAATGAGTGCAGACATAGGCCCCATTCCAGGAGATGGCATGATGCTATGGCTAAAATCAGTTTTGTAACTCAGGCAGACTAGAAGCTGAGGCCTGACTGTATCTGCTCCTCCCTGGGATAGCCAAGGCAGGCCTGTTCTGGAAAGTTCCTCCTCTGTCAAATGAAGTGAGTAGCAAAAGCTCCTGTTCCAGGACTGTGTTTGAATTAAAGGTGGCAGTATGCAAAGCTCTCGGTGTCATTAGTGTTTGATAATAAATTCTGTTATTATTGCTATTAGTAGATCACTTATCTACCCAGTATGATAATAATAAGGTAGCTAAGAACTTTTTTAAAAATTTACTTATTTCTGTTTGTGGGTTGTGTGCATATGGGTACATATAGATGTGTGGATACGTGTGCTTGTGTGTGCACATGGGTGTGTGGATACGTGTGCTTATGTGCACACATGGATATGTGGATATGTGTGCTGTGTGCACACATGGATATGTGGATACGTGTGCTTGTGTGTGCACATGGATATGTGGATATGTGTGCTGTGTGTGCACATGGGTCATGTGGATACATGTGCTTGTGTGCGACTGTGGTTGATTTTAGGCATCTTTTTTAGTTGCTCTCCATCTGACATTATATTGAGGCAGGAGCTCTCACTGAACCTGGAGCTTGCCAGAGAGCCCCAAGGGATCCATCTCCCCTGACCTCCAAAGCGGGGTTACAGAAGTGCACCACTACACCGGACTTTGATGTGGATGTTGGGAATCTGAACTCAGATCCTCATTCTGTGCAGCAAGCATTTTACCACTGAGTCATCTCCCCAGACCTGACATTATAAAGCCTATATAAATGTGTATTTAAATTTTATATTTATATATGTGAACAACTGCCATTTTATTTTCATTTTTCTCTCTCTCTCTTGTTAAAAAATTTTTGAGACATATCTTATATAACCTAGGCTGGCCTCAGACTCAACTCTGTAGTAAGGATGACCTTGAACTTCTGATCTTCTTGCCTCCACTCCCAGATGCTGAGATTACAGGCACGTGACATTTAATCAGAGTTGTTTAGCACTGGGGATCAAACCCAGGGCTGGTGTGCAGTAGACAAGTATTCTACCAGCTCAGTTACATCTCCAGGATGCGTTTAACATTCTGAATTGCCTTCTTTCATAAATAATAATTCTATCTTAATGTTATACTGCTGTGAATGCATCTTTATGCATGATGATATTTACATTTCAAAATATTAAAAATTTTAGAAGTCTTGCAATATCTTTTTCTGTACAACCATTGGATGTTTCCGTCAGTCTTGGAAAATGGCATCTGTCTTTAAACAACGAGTTTAGAAGAGTTTATATTTTCCTTTTCCTAGTTCTCTATTTCAACGATAGGACTCTGGTTCATCCTCCGCCTCCCACCAAAGGTTGATGGGCAGGGAGAGAAGAGGGGATCTCGTTCTGTTCCCCTTGCTTGCTGGTCTGCATACCTAGGGTCATGTGGAGAAGTGGGGAGTGTCTCTCTGTGACCTCCTGGAATGCTATTAGCACTCTGAGTCACAGAGAGCCAACCTCCCACCAGGTAGCACGGGGCTGGGTGGTTAGAAACTAACCATTAACCAACTCCCGGGTAGCCAGGGGTGAGCAAAGTTTCCAGCTGTTGGACAGGACTGGTGATATTTGCCAGGACACAATTGAAGCCGAAGTCATCAGCTGTGACATCTCAGGGTGCTTCCTCAAGGGAGGTGCTGGATTATGCTCTGTTAGGTTTCTTAAGATTAATCAGACACTTTGCCGACCCTGGAAGAATGAGTGTGTGCAGAAAAAGTTGATAAAGACGCTTCTGGGAGGAATTTGGGCTCTGCGGATGGGTGCAAAAGCAACCAGTAACCAGATGTGGTAGGCAAAGGGTTCCAGAGCCTTCCCTCGTGGCCAGCTATCACACAGTGGCTCACACAATAGCTGCCTCTGACTAATTTACTTCAAGCTGTGATTTCTTTGCTCAGCTGCCTCTGGCAGCTAAAATGCCCTGCCCTGGAGACATCCCACTCATCCGCTGAGACCCATTTTGTGGTCACCTCCTCAATAACAACTTTCTTATCTCAACCGGGCAGAAAGGCTTGGTTTTCTTTGCCTGCAGTAAAACTAGAATGCTGTACGCAGTAGTTGCTACATTGTTTTATTTTGGTTTGTACTCCATCCTCTGTCCCTCATAACTGATACTTAATTGGATGGCTGACTCAGGTTCCTAGAAAATGTGTGTGACCCCAAATCTAGGGAAGATATTTGACAGGTGTTTGCTGAAGGTAGGGAAGGCAGAGCTCTTGGAGGAATCCAGGGGGCCAAGGGGATGGCATATTGGTTACTTTCTTTGTTACTGTGACACAATACCTGGCCACAGTTAAGGTAAGGAATCACCGTGGGGTGGTGATTTCAGCTCACGGTTCAAGGCTGTGGTCTGCCGAGGTGACGGCATGGAGTGGGAGCCTAATGTAGCTGGGCACATTGGGTGCACAGTCAGGAAGCCGTCAATGCAGGCGTCAGCAAACTTCCTTCTTTTATTTAGTCTGAGATCTCAGCTCATCAGTTGATGTTGCCTACATTTAGGGTGGCTCTTCTCACCTAAGATAATCCAGTCCAGAAATCACCTTGCCAACACGCCCACACACAGTGATTCAAAATGCTGTTGAGATGAGGATTAGCTTTAACCCTCACTGATGAGAACATTGGAGTCGTCTTGAGTGCTCACCAGTGTCTTTCGAGTTCCTCTTCTGGATCTACTGCTAGCGTATTTTCTCATATCTGTTGTGTTAACTGTGGCCGCAGTGTTGAATCCTGGCAAAAGGAATGTGGCTGTATCGCTCCCAGTCACTTTAGAACAGCTTCCTCTGCATAAGTCTCCTTGCCTCCTCCACTGGCTCTCAGGAGGGAAAAGACCACGAAGTTCTCTTGGAGGACACGGAGCCATGAGATAGAAGAGGTCAGAATCTCAGCCTGGGAAACAAAGTAGGCCAGCTGTACTCAGAAGGAGGTTTGTCTCTGAGGTGATTCTAGACCTTGTCAAGTTGACAACTGTTGCAGGTTACTTTTGGAGGCATACACTCATCGTCGGGTGGACAGACTACAGGAAATGCCAGCAAAGGCCCAAGGCAATTTTAGAAATGTCTTTTCCTCTCACATAACATAATCAGGCTTTTATAACTTTGTTCACTTCCAAGAACATAAAAATGAGAAGAGAACCCTAAACAAATCAGGCGTTTACTCAAAGGGGAAGAAATAAAAAAAATTGCAACGTAAGCGAGTGGCTTGGCAAAAGCATGTCATTTTGTTGTGAACAAACTTAGGGGCTTGGTTTAATTGTATGAGTGTAAAATGTTCCATTTTTCTGTTTGAGTGTGTATATGTGCACATGCGTGTTTATACGTGTATGTATTTGTACGCATGTGTAAGTCAGAGGATGTCCTCAGATTTCATCTTCTCAGGAGCTTTCTACAGTTTGCTTAAGATAGGGTCTCTCACTGGCCCAGAACTCCACCAAGTAGGCCAGGTTGGCTGCCCCTCCTCCCAGGCCGGTAAGCATTTAGGGATCTCCTGTCTCTGTTTCCCCCGTGCCTGGATCGCACTACATCACACATCTGACTTTTCATGTGGGTTTTAGAGCTGGGAATTCAGACGCTTAAGTGCTTCACCGGCTGAACCATTTCTTCAGCCCCTCAAATCAGCGTCCTTTAACTTTCACCTTAAAAGAAAGGACAGCGACACCAGCTCTCCTGAAAGAATTTATTAGATGATAGCAGGCAACTCGCAGTCAGGGAGATAGATGGGTGCTATATCAAACTGAAGGTGCAGAGAAGTGTTTGAATACAGAAGAAAGACAGAGTGTTGCAACAAAGAAGACACTGTTTACAGAGGCTTATCACAGGAGCTGAAGTCACTCCCTGAAAGAGACAGGTGTCAGACAAGTATCCTTGTGCAAGTGGCTACTTAGCTTGTAGCTAGTTGCCTTTAGGTGCCTCATGCAGTGGGCTGTGTACATGGAAACAATTTGCTTTGTTTTTGCTTCTGTTTTGGTATATGGATAGTATAAGAATGCATGCTCTCTTGACTGTGTGCACGTGTGTATGTATGTACGAGTGAGTGTGCAGGTCAGTAGACAACCTTGGCTATCATTCCTCAGGCGCTAGCCACTTTTAACAATATTTATTTTTATTTTATGTGTATTAATGTCTTGCCTACATGTGTATCACATGTGTGCAGTACCCACAGACGTCGGAAGAAGTTGAATCGCCTAGAACTGAAGTTCCCGAAAATTGGGAGCTGCCATGTGGGTGCTGGGACTCAAACATGGATCCCCTGCATGAACATCAGGTGCTCTTAACTGTTGAGTCATCTCACCAGCACCCCACTTTTTCAGGGGGTGTGCAGTGTCTCTTACTGGCCTGGAATGCAACAAGTAGGCTAGGCTAACTGGTCAGTGAGCCCCAGGGTTTCATATACCTCTAGTTTTCATACACTGGAATTACAAGCATGGGGCACCATTTTTTTCTTTTTCTTTTTTTAAGCATATATTCTGGGACCTGTTTTAGATCTTATGCTAGAAGGACAAGCACTCTGTGGTTTGAGATATCTCCTCAGTCCTGGACCCATTTGATTAGGGCCAGACTTAGGTGTCTTTATTAAGTGCTGCCAGCTTTTGCATGACTAGAAAGTTTAGG